GAGAAGTGGCCTCAGCCATCAACTCTGCTGACCCTAGGGCTTGCAGCCCACTGGAGCACAGCCCCTCCCTCCTCCTGGGAAGGCCTGCAGGACAGGAGGAAGCCAACATCAAGTGCACCCTCATCTTCCAGCGGCCAGGGGAGGGCGCTGGCACTCTAGGACTTCTTGGCATCCTGCGTGTTCCGGCGTTTCAGGTCACTCAGGTCAATCGGCTTGAAGGCTGCCGGGAAAGGTGTGGTCAGTGCTGGCACAGGCCCCTGGCCACCCCCACCTCTGGAAGCCCCTGGAGCACGTTGGTAGTGTGGGCAGGAAGCAGGTGGTTGTCCTGTGCCCCCCATGGCCCCACTCACTCTTCAGGCTGGGGTTGGGAACCTTCTCCACGTACTCCTCCACCAGGCCCCGCTCGCCACCTGATAGCTGGCTGCGCAGGTCTCGCTCCACACCCTGCCAGGCTGCCACAGGCGAGGGCAGTGGGGTCAGTGTCAGGCAGAGGCCAGCCAGGAGACACCCCTCTCCCTCTGCCAGCTGAAGGTACCTTCCAGCACCCAGCACTCCTCACCATGGGCCTGGACTCTCAGAGACGACCCATCTGACCCAGCTTGGCTTCCCAGGAGTGCTTGGCCTTGGCTCAGCCCTCCTTCCACATCCTCCACCCACCCCGACTCTGGGTCAGCAACTGCTGGGGGCACCCATCTTCCACACCTCCCTCCTCTCCCTAGCACCCCCAGTGCCGAGGACAGGCTGCCAAGGACAGGCTGCAGAGGCCATCTCCTCTGGGGTAATGCCTACTCCCTCACCCTCCTCTAGGGCTTTTAAGTGTCCCCTGTCACTCAATCTGCCATTCCCTCCCCCCAGATTTGGAAGGACTGATGGGGCACCAACACCCAGAGTGGTGACGTGGAGGCAGGAAAGGGCCCAAGGGAGCTCCTGGGCACTGGGGCAGAGCAGGGAGGCTGACCATTCCCAGGAGGAGGAGCCCCTGCACAGGCATACCCACCTTCATAAATAAAGCGCACATTCTCCTCGTGGGCGGGGGTGAAGATCTCACTGCTGTTGGTGGGCGAGCGCGGGCTGCTATTTCTTTTGCCGTTGTAGACGACTCTGGAGACGGGGGAACTAGGAGAGGACAGAGCATGAGGCTGGGTGCAGGGCAGAGGAGGCCCACTCTCACCCCGGGTGAGGGCCATCATGCTGCCCAGAACACACCTGGTCATAGCTGGTCCTCTGGTCCTGGTGCTCTGCTGCAGGATCCCCTCAGCCTCTGAAACAGAAGCCCCAGAACACAGGAGTGGGACAGAGCATGACCCCTCCAGCAGAGGGGCAGGGTGCAGGCATGTCCACTGCCTCCTTCTAAGCTGTGGTCAAACTATGTGGACCTGTCACCATCCAGGGGACACAACAGAATAGGGCCCAGCCCTGGGTGGCCAGTGGGCTCCAAGCAATCCTGGGCAGCCTAAGGCTGGGGCAGGGTCAGCTGGAGGAGGTTAGGGGCACCAGGTTAGGTCAGACACATGCAGGACACAGAGAGTGAGATGGCCTGGTGCTCGGCCCCATCAGTAGGCAGGGGCCTCTCTTAGCGCCAGGTTGAGTGCCCCCTACTGGCTGCACAATGGGGATGAGGAGCCCGCACACACCAGAGGCCCCAAGGCTGCCTGGTCCCCTCGGGCTGGGCTGTGAGCAGGAACAGACCTATCAAGACGGGGGCAGTGGGGAGCTGCCAGACCTGACCAGGGAACAAGACTGAGGGGGGTACTGCCAGTTTAGTCTCAGCTCAGGGGATTTTCACAGCTTGATTCTATTTTGGGGGTGGCCAGCTGTGGACATATGGTCCACACAGGATGCAACCCATGTGCTAGGGACAAGGCAGCCCCAGAAGGGGGCCTGTAGTATAGAACCCTACCCGCCCATCCCCAGGGTGAGGGGCTCCACGCAGCCCAGAGCACACAGCTGCAGCCCCTCATGAAGGGCAGGAGATTGACATTCTGGGCTCTCCCGCCCTAGCTGCCAAGCGGTCATATAATGATTCATCGACTGAACGTGGCACAAGTGAACATAGCCCACCACCAAAACAAGAACAAAAAGGGTACAGTTAGCTGAGGGGGCCCAGGACCCTGTGCGCCCCCAACGTGCTCATGCTTTCTTGCACTCCAGGGGCTCTCTGCCCATGGTCCTCCAAGGCTACCAGCCTGGTAATGCCAGAGCACAGAGAAAGCCCTGTGGGCCTGATGAGGCAGTAAGACCAGGTGGACAGCCTCAGAGAAGGGAGGCACTCAGCACCCCGCCTCAGCTCCCAGGGCCCAGAAGGCCTGCTGTCCCACGCCGACTGCTGTGTCCAGGGACTCCTACCTCCGAGCCTACCCTCCTCTAGTGCCTCCCTTCCCAGTGAAGCCTCAGGCTCGGTGGCCACAGCCTCCAGTGGCTGCCTGGCTTTCACAAATGCCATGCCCTCAACCTGGGTCCCCCTGCTGGCACCAGCCTGGCTGGCAATGATGTTTGTGTTTGGCCAAGTAAGGACACCTGAGCATGTTTACTGGCCAGGCCTGAGGGAAGCATAACACCAGATGAGCAGGGTCCTGAAGACGCAGACAGGCAGGGGGCTGAGCCTGGGACCACAGCAGGGGAATGGGCGGGGGGAAAATGGCTCAGGCAGCAGAAGTGCCAGAAAGCACACACACAAAAATCCCTCCAGGCTTCAGAGAGCTATCAGGTTGCAGCCCGTTGCTCTGCAGCCTAAGCAGTGAGTGGTGGTCTTGTCCAGGCAGACCAAGGGACAGGGACGGGTGGAAGGAGAGGCTGTCAGTGAGCAGCCAGGGAGAAGGCTGTCTCCAGAGCCCATTCAGCACAGCTCTCCCAGGCCTCCACGCCACTGGGGCCACCACCAGGGGAGGAGGAGGGGCAAGCTCTGCATCCCTCCCTGACTTTGCCTTCTCTCTTCCATAATCATTTCCTCAACACTGAGGCCCAACACCTCAGCCTACATGCAATTGTTCTTTATGTGCTGCCAAAGGTTGAACCTAGGCCTCCCACATGCGAGTGAAGCGTCCCACCACTAGCGACACCCCCAGCCTGCTGAATTTTAACTTCAACACAGGTTCCCGCAGAGTTGCTGAGGCTGGCCTTGAACTTGCAATCCTGCCTCAGCCTCCCGAGTAGCTGGGATTCAGGCATGAATCATGCATGGCAATTCTAAGATATCTTTCCCTCATGACTCTGAAATTGGGTGGTATCTAACAATCGCTAAGATGTCAAAGTTTGGCAGTTTTTTTTTTTTTTTTTCTCTACAGTCCATGAAACAAGAGGAAGCTCATCAAGCAGTGTCTCAGACCTGAGAACTCCAGAGTCCCTCCACCAACAGACTTCCTCCATTCATTATCCCCACCTTGCGGACACTCAGTCCAGCCCTGCTGCATCGGCCTCCCAGAGCTGGGGACATTCTGGACACCTTCCGTGTCACTCACCAGAGAGATGCCAATGGCCTCTTCTGCCATCAAGCCCAAGGCCCAGGTGTTTCATGTTCTCTCAGGTGTCACCTACTGCTACACCCCCACCCCAATCCAAATGCAGTCTTTGCCACAGAACTGCCTGCCACTTGCCACCCCTCAGAGCAAGTGACCTTCCAGTCTACATGCTGTGCAGGACTCAACTGCTTGTAGTCTTGATTGTGCAGCCCACAGGGCCAGAAATACCCTGGCCAGAGGTTGTCCATCCCTCCTCTGCCACCTCCAGGAAAGTCCCTCTTGGCCTCAGCATCCTCATCTGGAGTAACACATAAAGCCCCTGCCTCAAACAAGGTCTCCACAGCTCCTTAACCAACAGAACCACAGCAGGTCATCACTCACCATTTTGTCCAATTGGACACTTTTAAGAATGAAAGGGGATGCTGTTGATTACTAAGCAGGACACAAGACAGCTCTGAGCAGATCAGAAGATAGAGCCAGCCCACTGGTAATGACCACCACCCAGAAAAGTACAGGGTACTGAAGAGACTGCGTGGTCACAGCAGACACAAAGGTGCTTTGCACACACTGCTCTGGTACCTACAGCTGGGACAGCAAGAAGGCACCTGATGACCCCCATCCTGCCCGGGTCAGCAGCTGGGTGAGCCCAAATGCTGAGGCTGGCCCCAGCCCCCTGCAGCATGCCTCAACGCTTGCCGGCACCCCAAGGCGGGGTCCTGGCCTTCCGACAGGCCCGATGCCCAGGGCATCCCTCTGCCTCTGCTCGCTCTGGCCGTCCACCGCAGGCTGCGAGGGGCGTCGGCGGAAGCGGCCTGCTCCACGGGACCCAGGGCTTCAGAGGCGTCCTGGGCGAGGCAGCGGCGGAAACGGCGAGAGTGAGTGCGGGGGCCGGATCGCGCCTAGACCGCTCCCCTCGCGGCCACGAGCCGGGGACGCGGCACCAGGTGGTACTCTTGTCCAGCAAAGTGACAACGGGCGTCCACGAGCAGGGCCGGCGGTGCGGAGGCCGCGTTCCTCCCTCTGCAGTTCTGAGCCGCCGCTGCCCCTCGGAGTTCTCTATCCCCTGGGGCCGACCACCGGCCGAGCGGGGCCAGCGGGGCCGGCGGCAGGCCCGGCGCCCTGTCTGCACCCGCCCGCGGCGCCGCCGCGCGCGGACACTGCCCGCCACGCGCCTCGGACCCGGCCACTCGCTGCCGCCCGGGGGCGCGGCGGGAGCAGCCTGGCAGCAGCCTCGGGCCCGCCGCCCGCCCCGCCCCGCCCCGCGGCCCAGACCCGCAGCCGGCCGCGCCCGCCTCACCTCGCCCGCTGCGCCGCCGCCTCCCGAGGGCCGGCCGGAAGTGGCGCCCGCGCAGGCGCAGAGGGCACGTGACCACGCCGAGGCGGGGGGGGGCGGCCCCGGAAGGTGGCGGGCCCGGCGGGCGCGCCGACCGGGAAGCAGGAGCGGAGCCGGGAGTCGGGCCGAAGGGGCCCCGGGAGGCCCCGCCCGGCGAGGGTGCTGAGCGTCCGGCCCTGGACCCTAGGAATCAGGCCACCACCACAGGCTTGGGAATCACGTTTATTGAAAAAGTACAAAGTGTCACAATAAAAAATCCACCTAGAGGGCTGGGGACGCAGCTCGGTGACAGCGCACTTGCCTACCACGTGTGCGGATCTGGTTTGAGCCCCAGCACCACAAAATAATTTCACCTGGTGATTAAGCCAAGCCAGAGACATGGGTGTAGGGGACAGGGGTCGCGCCTGAGGACAAGTCCTGGCCAGCCCAGTGGCAGCCCTGAGCCACAAATGAAGAATGCCCTGTTCCCTGGAACAGGGTGCAGGCCCCTTCTCCAGGAGGCAGGAGCCCTGGAGTGCAGCTCCAACTCAGTCCATCCTGGTTCCTTTGAAGAGCTCCACCAGGTCCTTGAAGTCCGGGTCAATGAGGTCGGAGGGCAGGTCACCATCGTCATTGGCTGCATCTCTGTCTGCCCCCAGAGAGATGAGGTACCTGGATGCAGAGGGCAGCCCTGGTTGAAGCATGCTTGTCTCCACCCCAGCATAGAGCCCTGGGTCACCTGTTTGTTTTTCCACTCAGGCTGAGGAGGAAACCTGACCCTTTGGAAGCTGCAGCCAGCTTTCCAGTTTGTTACGGGCCAACACAGGATAGAAACAGGGTGCCAGGGGACAACCCTTAGGGTTCATGCCTGCACCATCAGAGCTGTCTTTTGGGGACCCACCTCCTGGGGACCAGTGGATGCCTGGAGAGGTTGGGCCAGGACCTTTCTGCACCAGGTCCCACTCTCACCTGGCGATGTCGGGGTACCCATCACTGCAGGCCATGTGCAGAGGTGTCCACCCCGTCTCGTCACGCTGGTGAATGTCAGCCCCATATTTGACCAGCAACTTTACACACTCCAGGTTTCCAGAGAGCACTGCTTCATGCAGAGCAGCTAGACCTGTGCAGGTGGGAGGGCAGGGGTCAAGGCTGGAGTCCTCCACATTGGCCTTCCCCAGTATCCCCACAGGCCCATGGCCAATCCCTCTGGGAATCACTCACCTGAGGGGTGGATGGTGTCCAGGGAGACTTTCCGAGTCCGGATAAAACGCCCTACCTGCTCCAGGTCACCCTGGCGGATGTGGTCCAAGAAGAGGACATCATTAGGGAAACGCACACTTCGGTCAGCCAGCAGTCGCCGGCGCCGCTGCCGGGGGCTGTAGCGGGTATATCGGACTGTTCTGCTGGGCATCCTGGGGGCTGGGGTGGGCTGCCCCCTGGGGACCCGACTGCACTGGGGTGAGGAGTGTTCCAGCCAGACCAGGTCAGCGTGAAGGTTCTTCTGATGAGACTTTGCTTCCGGCTTATATAGTGTCTGCGGAGCTATATAAAGCTGCGTGGTCATGCCTGTGGACGAGAAGGCTGAAACCGAGCTGCCCCCTCCCTGCGCACCGGATCATGTTTGGTGGCTCATCTTTCAGCCCACCTGTCGTTGTGTCCGGCCAAAGGGGTCAGATCCTTCCTGGCCACCGCTCCCTGCCCCACAGCTGGACCTAGAAGGTGCTTTAACAGAGGGCAGGAGAAGGACAGGGCCCATGAAGAAGGCCTCAGATGCGGGCTCAAGGGCAAGGTAGGTGCCAAGGTTGTAAGGAGGCCCAAGCACCTGGGGATGAGTGGCCTCTGCCTCCTGGAGAGGGAGGGCCTCCCCACATCCGAGGAGCACTGGTCTGTCTGCTGTGGGGGAGGCCAGGCCTAGCCATCTCCACCTGTCACTTCCTCATCAGCTTCTGGTGCTGTGGTTTCCTGGGAGCTGCCTTGATGGCTCTGTCTGCATGGACCTGTTCCCCATGCTGGGCGCTCCAACACCAGGATCCTGCCTGCCCTGGGCAGCCCTCCCTCCCGCAATTTCCACTGCCTGCCATACCTTCTCTGGGTTCTGGAATGCTGCCAGAAACTGTTCACATTGAAGGTGGTGTCCAGTCTGTGTCCCTAGTGAAGGGACTATGTGGGGTGGTGTGACCCTCAGCCCAGCCCTCGCAGGCTGTCAGTACCTCGCGCTTTTTTTTTTTTGGATGGCTGTGGTGGGCCTTGAACCTAGGGTGCTTTACCATTGAGCCTTTCTTTATTTTTTATTTTAAGACAAGATCTCACTAAGCTGCCAAGACTAGTCTTGAACTTTTGATCCTCCTGCCTCATCCTCCTGAGTTGTTGGGGTTACAGGCCTGTACCACTGCACCTGGCTAAATCTCCTTCTCACAGGGCCAGCAGCCATAATGGACTTATGGCCACCTTACTCCAGTGTGACCTCATCTTAACCAATTACAGGAACAGTGACCCTGTTTCTAGATAATTTCACATTCTAGCTGGGCATGGTGGCAAACGCCTGTCACCCTAGGGACTCAGGAGGCCAAGGCAGGAGGATGCAAGCTCAAGGTCAGTTTGGGCAACTTAGCAAGACCCTGACTCAAACCAACAAAAAACCCATATCAAAGCACAGTTGGGGATATAGCTTAGCAGCAGAGTTCTCCTGAGTTCAATCCTAAATACTGCCCCTCTCCCCCCAAAAAAGTCACATTCCAAGGTACTGGGGGATAGGACATGAGTCGGAGACGAAGCTCAACATCCCACTGGTGAGATGCTCCAGGTGGCCACTGGAGGCCTAAATAACAGGACCGAGACTGGCCAGCCCTGCAGGCAGGGAGGAGAGGCAGTGCTCCATCATTAGCTGGGCCCCAGCCAACAGAGTCCAGTCAACAGGTGTGTCGGACCCCCTCAAGGTGCAAAGCCTTGAGCCACAGGCTGCAGGCCACCCTGCCTGGCAGCGTCTCCCTGCCGCCGTGCCCGCTGGGCCTCACACAGGGCTGCATACTCTGCACCCCACACCCAGCCTGTCTAGGCCTGACCTGTGGGGACCCTGCTGGGTGGTGCCTGGGTGCTGCATTTTCAGGGACTCGGGGAGTGCTAGGCAGTCGTGACTCCTGGCCACCTGGGAAGAGTCAGTAGTTTCTTCTCCCTTGTTTACAGGAAGCCAGGAGACTAAACATTCTGCCCGGTGGCCAGCTGGCTTGTTGGGCAAGGACCTGGGTTCCAACCCTAACAGAGAAAGAAAGGTGACAGTGAGGTGAAAATGCCTCTGTCCAGCGCTGACCAGGGCCCCAGAATGGCCCTTTCCAGCAGGCTCTGGGCCTCAGGCTGGACAGGACTGAGCTGAATGGGTCAGATGAGCCTGTTTGGCAGCCCCAAGTCGGACCCCAAGTGGCTCATCCTGCAACCAGTGCCCTGAAGGCTTCTGTGTGGATCAGAGAAGGGACTGGTCCCCAAGGCCTCTCAGTCACCACAGGTTCCCTAGAGGAATGGATGTGCTTTTGTTGTAGTTGCTGGGAATCATGTGTCTGCATCCTGAGTCCCAGAGGCTGCCTGGAGCACCTCAGCAGGGGAGGACCCTCTGCTATCATGGGTGAAATGAAAAGCTTTGTCCCTAATTTGTCTCAGTTGGTATGAACTTGTGATAAAAGTGACCTGGTCTGCATGATTTTAAGTTTCAATTTTTTTCAAGGACAAATTAAAACATTTATGCAAAAAGGTTACCATCTGGGGCTGGGGGTGTGGCTCAGGCGGTAGCGCGCTCGCCTGGCGTGCGTGCGGCCCGGGTTCGATTCTCAGCACCACATACAAACAAAGATGTTGTGTCCACCGAAAACTAAAAAAAAAAAAAAAAAAAATGGATAAATACTAAAATTCTCTCTCTCTCTCTCTCTCTCTCTTAAAAAAAAAAAAGAGGTTACCATCTGCCAAGTGCGGCAGGGCATACCTATGATCCCAGTGACTGGGGAGGCTTAGGCAGAAGGACCATAAGTTCAAAGCCAGTCTCAGGAACTTACTGAGTCCCTAAGCAACTTGGCAAGATCCTGCCTCAAAATAAAAGGGGGCTGGGGATACAGCTCAGTTGGTAGGTTGCTTGCCTCATGTGCACAAGGCCCTGGGTTCGATCCCCAGCACCACACACACACAAAAAGAGTTGGGGATGTGGCTCAGTGGTAAAACGCCCCTGGGTTTGGTTCCATCCCCAGTACCAACAAGAAAAAAGAAAGTTGGCATGCTGAAGGGTGGCGGCCCAGGGCAGGCTGTAGTCCTTCCTCCCAGGAAGGCTCTGAGGCCAGAGGACCCTGGGGCAGTGAGCACCATCAGCCTGGCATTTGCTTTTTAGGTTTCAGTGGCTTCTGGTCATCTGGGGAGAGAGCGAGGGATTGGGAAGTCCCAGACTGTTAAGCCTTCACTGCCTCCCCCAGAGCCTTCAGGCTTGCCTTGCTAATCCACTGGCCAGCCAGAGAGGTTTTGGACACCACCCCACAGCCTCAGCACAGCCTAGCCCAGGAATGCACTCATCAGCTGCCTCTGCGAAGGGGAAAGGTATCCGTGACTCACTCTCGGCCCAGGAGCGCGTGATGGTGGCCGCCTGGTCCCAACATTCTATCCCGAGACCAAGCGTCTGCACAGCTGGGAAGCAGGGTCACCCACACCCTGTCCCTCAGAGAGGGAGCGTAGCCCACCCCTTTCAGCTGTGGCTGGAGATGGCCCCCTGCTCTGGCCCTGCTGCCTGCCTTCCCCCAAAGGCCCCGTGGCTCCTGCCTGAGTCACATCTCCAGGGCCTCAGCTCACATTTTGGGGGGCAGTTAGTGTCCTCTCACCCCCTCCAATTGCCTGTGCCTACTTTACAATGGAGATGCACCCCACTGTGTGGGCAGGACCCAGGCACAGCCCACAAACCCTGCTGAGGCACCTGAAGCCCAACTGGCTGGAAACCACCCCCAACATGGGCCACCCGGAAGCCAGCAAAGTGGACAGGCTGGAGTGGGCAGTGTCAGGACCATGGGTGCCTGGGCAAGCCAGTGTGCCCAAGGACCTGACACCAGTCTCCATCACCTGCCGGCTGTGTACTGCACAACAGCACACAAGCAGGGGCCCTGGGCTTGTGAGGGCCTGTGTAGCACTGCAAGGGTGGGCGTGGGGGTCTGCCCACCCACCGTGCCCTTGGGTAGGTGCCCAGTGTAGAATCATACTCCCAGTGAGCCCTGCATTGGCCCAATAGCTGGGTCTGTACCAGCACATCTGAGGGCTCTACAGGGCCACTGGCATGAGTAGGGGGGACCAGGAGGCTGGTGGTGCTGAAGGCTCCTTCAAGAAGCAGGCCACCTGGCGAGTGTGGGACAGAAGCCTGCTGGAGGCTGTGCTGGGCTCCCTCAGATGCTGCCATGCCCCTCCCGTGTGGTCCTACAGAGGTCCTGATGTACCCGAGTGGGTAGGGGAAGATGGCCAGGCTCAGCAGCCCCATAGCCCATTGTCTTCAAAGTGGATTCCAATTGTCCTTTTCCTGTATGTGACCCACAAGCACGTCAAATTTTTAAAATTTATTGTTGGTACCAGAGATTAAACTGGGGTGTGCTTTACCACTGAGCCAAATCCCCAGCACAGTCCCCTGCCCCTTGTTTTAAATTCTGAGGGTAGGTTGCTGAGGCTGGTTGAACTTTGCAAGTTGGGAGTACCAGTGTGCACTGCTGCATCAGGCCAGTGTAAAACCCAGCGAACGTCCCGTCTTATTTCTATCAAGGTTTGGTTAATAATCATGACAACGTGTCCATTTTACCTCTTCTTTTGAGATATTTTTTAGTTGTTGATGGACCTTTTTTTTTTTTTAATGTGGTGCTGGGAATCGAGCCCAGTGCCCCACAATCCCAGTCCGTCATCTTACCTCTTCTTGAGGTTTGATCCACCCAAATTCTTGTCTGATCACTGAGGTGAGGGCAGGGGATGAGATGGCCAGCATGTCCCTGGTGGCCAGGGCAGCTGCACAAAGGTCGAGTCAACATCGTGGCCCTGGTCCATGGGCAGATCAACACGCCCCTGCTTGGCCGCCTGCAGGTGCTCAGGCCCTGGGTAACCCCAAGCTGTGCCTGAGCTGTTTCTGCACTGTGACACTTCAACACAGAGGTCGTGACAACAGTGGCCCCTCAAAGCTGGCTGAATCTCTTTAGCCCAGCTCCTGTGACTTGAAGAAATACAGCAGAGGCCACAGCGGGTAGTAAAATTTCAACTTTATTTGGCCAATGTGTCCAATTCCAATATTGTGGTAGAAATGCCCGAAGAATGGTCAACATGTGATTCAGCCCCGGCATCCCCGGCTGTCTCCTGGCCTGGGAACCCAGGGCCTGGTTCTGCCTGTGTAGGCCTCAGCCATGCTGCAACAGAACCCGCAGTCAGCGTGGAGCGCCTGAGATAGGGTGGGAGCCCTGCTTGAGGAAGAACAGGTGAGCTGTTCAGGCCTGTCCTGGGCCCTGCAGCCGGCAACCACAG